GATGATAGCACAATTAATCAAAATTTTTTTCTATCTGTCTGCGTTCTGCTTCTGCTAAGGATCTTGACTTAGAGAGGACTTTGTAGAAATGGCAGGCTAACACTGTCTTTCCCTCCTCTCTGTTTTGATATGACTCTTTGATTAGACTCCTGTTTTCTTTGCAGTTTTAGCAAAGCAAGTTTAGATAAAATATTTTTTACAGTTGTTTTTGCACTTTATAACCCAATAACTATGCTTTTCAACATTAGAATTCACGTCACAGCGTCAGGCAGATCATAAGAATCAGGAAGGACAGACACTGGGATTTAAACACGTGTGTCGGTTAAAATGCATTTCTACGATATGAGATGTTTTTTTTAAATAGGATTTTATTTAAAATGTGCATTTCTGCATTTTCTGCACAGAGAGAATCACAGAACTTTAGTCGTTCTCTCACTGACTCACGCTTGGCGCAGAATCGAAACGTTTTTCTCTTCAATTTGCAAACCTGCCATCGTGGCTTATGGGTTGATCATTTTGACCCTGCATTTGAAAAGTGGTGTGTCCTAATTTTCACCCCTGTGACATAATGATGCACCAAGCCAAGTTCTCACTGTACTTTTTAAAGATATATTGAGTCGTCTTTTATATGCACATATGATTTTATTCAGTTCATGTACAATGATGAGCCATGTCAAGTTCTTGCTGTTCTTTTTTTTTTTTTTTTTTTAATAGATATCGGTTCTTCTTTTACATGCAAGTGAAAGAAGGACCAACGTCTTGACTAAAAGAGTATGCAATGTTCAGAAGGCAGGAAATTATGCTGAGGAGGCTAAAAAAGGTCATTTAAGGAGGTGACAAAATGTGAAAATATGGGTTTGTAGAATAGATCTTTTAAGGTAAGAACTTTTTAAAACAGGCAAAGGTTTATGGAAGAAAAACAGGCTTCACACTACTCCTTTTTGTTAATGAAGAGACCAGATTTCCTTCTGTTTTTGTGCATGAAGGTCTGTGGAGCTTGAAGTCGGGGTCATGTTACCCCTCCAGACGAGGCTAATGGGGGTAACTTCATTCGTGATGGAAGATCATTTGGGTTTCTCAAGTTTTTATGGCCTCGGAGCAAACGTGACATGCCACCTCCCCGGACTCGGATGAAATGCGCTCATGTCATAATGTTAAAGCAATTAGGTCTGCTATGATCTGTCTCGCCTTTTCTCCCATCTCAGATACTGGAGCTGACTCTGCTCATGGCGAGCTACATCAACCACTGGAACCCCTCCGTCCCGTCGGCTTCCCACCAGCCCCTCGGCCACTGGGATGTGGACAGCCGGCACTTCCCTGCCATGAACTACACCACCAAGGGCCCGACCCTACTGTAAGCAGCGGCAGAGAGGCTCCACGGCCGCAGTTACTGATGGAAGACGCTGGGCCGCATCACATCCCGTGTTTCTATCCTTACAGAACAGAGTTTTTATTGTCTCTTTTTTAACATCGAGGCTGAAATTAAAAGGAGCAGGAAGAGTGCCATCACACAATTTCTTCTGCCTTCACTTGTTTTATTTATTTTAGAAATTGGAGGGACTGTTGGTCACTAACAGCTCAGTTTTCTGTCTGCATCAGCAGTTATTCACCATGGATGTGACAAGCAACTTTCGTTTTACTTAGGATACTGCTTGAACATATAGGCCAAGTGGTAGTGTAGTTATTAATATAGTATCTCTGCCCCTTGAAACTTTCCACATTTTCTCATGTGACAATTATTAACTATGATATATTTTATTGGGATTTTATGAGCTACACAAAGTAATGTATTGTCCTCTGAGCTGTTGGCCTGGACCGAGCTGGTGTATGGCTGCCAGAATAACATCTAATAAAAGCAACTAGATCGCAACAAATTTAACTAAAAATGCTTCAATTTGGCATTTAAATCATTTGATGTAACTCGTGTAATATGTCTAAAACACAATTATTTTTTTTTCCTATTGGTTGTCAAGCAGAAGGAATTTTATTACGGATCACTTATTTTCTCAATTCACTGTTTCATTTAATTAGTTTTGTTTAGTGTAAAAAGTTTATTTCCTCTTGCTGATAGTGCTGGAAAAATATTTTAACAATGCAGAAATGTTTTATGTGATAAAATGACTTATTTGGCCAAATGTCAAAAAAACCTTTAGATGAAAAGTTTAGGAGTTGGACTAGATTTTGGACTTGACTTGAGGCTTCCCGCAATCTAAGATTGGATTCCACAATAAAAACTGTAACGTGACGCTCTGACGGCTCTGGGTTTTATCGTGGGGTATCAGGTTACCAGTCAATGCAAGTCACACTTTTTAGATGTTTATTTTGAAAATATCTTTTAAAGTCATCTATTAATTGCCTCACATCATTATGCACCACTTTGCGTTACCTTAAAATCCCAACAAAATACATGGAAGGGTTACGGCCATAGCATGACAGAATCTGAAAATGTTAAAGGGGATGTGAATACTTTTACAAAGTACTGTAATTATTTGTCTCAAATACACTAGAATTGTCGCATGTTTGTACTCGGAGTATAGGAAGGTCATTGTCGATAAAGGTAGCTGGTAGATAACGGTAATCAATCCGACTGTCAAATCAACAAAATAAGTGAAAACTGCCTTTCTAATAGATTTCTAGACATTTAACTCTTAAGAGACTATGATTAAATTGATTTTGTTTTGTTGTTCTTTGAGGTTATATAAGCTTCTCAATATAGCCAGATGTAGGCCTTGCAGAATTAGGTGGGCTGATAATGAAAGCTTCACAAGGGAAAATGGTGAAACGTGGAACAGAGTCGTTGGCCATCTACATGGAGCAAAACATGAGACTCGTGACGTTTTCCTGTGCTGCAGTGACTTACACTAAGACCACTCAGTTTTGCTGACAGTTTGTACGACGAGCTATCAAACATTTGAAAGACTTGAACTGCTTTGGATAAACCACTGTTTCACTTATGTTTTTATTACTAATTTATTTGCTCTGTAACAATTTGGGACTTGTGAAAGGTTTTCCACTTCTGCAATGTTTTCATTAGAAGGCCAAGGTTTGCTCGGGTAAATTAATGACAACATACGTTTTCTTTGATTGATTGATTTTTTAAAAAAAAATTTTTATGGTTGTTTACGTTGACCGTGCACATGTGAGGTGATAAACTAAATGATACGACTTTTAAACGCTGAACTAAGATTTCATGTGTGTTGTTCAAAAATAAATTTGCCACCCATTGAGCTTGGTTACTTTTTGTGCCACTAAATATTCCTGTTTAAAAAAAATAAAATAATCATTTGCTGAACAATGTGAAGAATGAAGCAGTTTTATCTCCTGTCAGGAAATTACTAAGAAAGTAACCGGTCATTTAATCTAAGAATCTTACAAATTAATTATTTTTTGAAAGATTGTTAGTTTTTCAGTGCTGGACAATACCAAAATTGAGTTTTCTGTTTTGATTTGGCCCCTAGAGCCTGTTATGCACAGCGGATAATCTTTGGGTCTAATGCAGTACTGTCGATTTGAAATGCCACCACTTTAAATAGAAATCATATGACCTATACAGATTGTTCTCCAGATTGATCCAAAACATCCGTCCAGGTGAGAAATCTTTGGCTTTGTATGCAGCTGAGATGAAACATTTACCCTACGTGTCACGCTGATACATTAAATTTGAAAATCCTGTTCAACAATATATTTTAAACTCTGTTGTAATAGTTTATTCAGAAAATATCTGAAAAATTCCTGAATAATTTTTCAGATATTAGATGATTAAAATCCATAAACTCGTGCTTTATCACAAAAGATTTTAGTACAAATGTTTCTTGTTTTTCATGCAAAACAAAAACAAAACCACTTCCCCTTGCCTAAGCAGTTGACACAAAAATTCAGGAAACTTTATGCAGCAATAATTATTGAGGGAGAGGGGGGGAAAAAAGTTTTATAAACAAATTCTTCTCATTCTTATTCGGATCCATTAACTGAATAATCACCCTGTGTGCTAGTTATGCATCGGGAAGCTGCTCGGCTTTTTCTTGTTCAAGAAGGTCAACATAGTAATGGCATTTTCTTGCCAAATTTAAGCTGTAAATGCCAGCTTTTTACAGCTTGTCTGAAACCCTTGTTGTTCCTGAGTTGCTCGCTTATAAAGGGAAAAACTCATTATAAGGCTCACTGCAGAATTATTGCGAGCATTCATCTCTCACCAACAAAGAAGAAAAATTCCTCCATTCTTTGGGCCTGAAATGCACCCTCGACCACTTGCTTTACAAGCCTTTAAATCATTTTTTTATAGCAAAGATGCAGAGTAACAGATGGGCATTTTCATTTTCATATTTTTACAGTGAACCCTTATTGCATTTTATTGGCTCTGTCATTATTTGTGCTGCAGAAGTAATGAGAAAGGTTGGTATAGAAAACCTATTGTGCAAAAAAAAAAAAAAAAACGCACACACACACACACAAAGATCCTGGGTTTTAACAGAGGACCACAAATCTGGGGCAAAAACAAACAGTAAACCAGCAGCTTTCTTTTTTTTTTTTTTTTGTATTTTTCATATAATTCTTTTTTATTATACAATTTTATAGATATCCACTTCTCATACTGTCTTATTTTAACCAAAATAAGAAACACTTTGTTTGTACAAAGTGTACAAAAGCACAATCAAGCAAGAACTACAATAGTAGAGGCAAGATTAGCTAACTTGCAATCTATTTTCCATCCCTTTAAATCAACCTTTTAACACCTGAACATGCTAACTTATCTCAAATAACTTTTTGAATCTGGATATTTGTTGATAATTTCACACTGCAATCAAAACAGGCAATATTGTTATTAAAGGTACTCACACCAGGGATACAAAGAAGTAAACCAGCAGAATGTTTACATATTAAAACGATTCGGAGTTTCAAATTACAAGCCAACAACAAAAGGCGTTTGGAGATGTTTCTAGCAATACTATTAATACTTCTAACCGTAATTTAACGTAATTAAAATGAACTGAATTCATTGTGTGGCTTAAACTTTTATCGTGAGGGCTGTGAAATTGAGTTTGTGACACGAATATGTCCAAAACAATACTTTAAATAGGACACACGAGGGCATGTTTACAGCTTAGGTGAGCTGTAACCATTTCCATGCTAGCTTAGCGGAGTTAGCCGGTGGCACGCGGAGAGAGAGCCTTCCAGCGCGTGCTGAGGAGCAAAGTTTGAGCAGCGAGGTACGCGCTCAACAACCTCGTAGCAACTGGAGACGGCAGGTTTGTAACACCGAAGCACGGCTACAGCTCAATTGCTTTATTTCTGACAGGCTAAATGCACGGTTCTGAACAGCTTTCCTCCACGTTCCCAGAGCCGAGACGTCGCTCAAGAGAGAGAGAAAAAAAACACACAAACAAACAAACAAACAAACAAAAAGAATGACAGCCAACAAGCCAAGGAGCGTGCTCCGCGAAGCCTCCCATCAGATTATGGCCGGTGGATCCGCTGGTGAGTCAATTATCCACAGCCATTAATTTTTGACGCCTTTGTTCCGATTACGCAATGGTTCTAACCACTACGTATAAAGTGCTTTCAGAAGGCGGTAGGGGCAGCTCCTCTTGAGTTGTTACCATTAAAAAAAAAAATAACAATTGCGGAACTGGCGCGTGTTTATTGTTGTACTCTCGCAGCTGAAGCACATACACGGCCACAAGCGATGTTTAGGGCACAAAGAGTTAGTGTTTCTCACCAAGATAGTTCCCTCCCATTTTACGTACGCTCACTTTACACCGTTTGCGCATGTTTACGCATGCGCAGCCGTGTTCCCCAACATTACTTGTGCTTCGCGGGACACAGGCGCAGTTTGAACGTACTTGACCTGGACGGGGTTCAAAATGAATGTTGTTAATCACCTAAACTTTCATGCCGTATTGAGAAACAGTATGTATGAATTTAAGTGCCGTTTGAATGAGTTAAGAAATTCAGAGGTGCGAGCTTTGACTGAATATTTATGGTGACAAAGGTAGACGTCACGTTTCAGAGTCAACGTAACAAAAACATGCAAAAAATTATAGATTTTTATTATTATTATTATTATTATTATTATTATTATTATTATTAAAGGTCATTCCTAGCTAAACTATGTAGAACTATTAATGGCAATGTTATGCAACGTTTTCCAAGTCAGGCACAAGCAACAAAGATAACAAAATTAACATTAATTTATTACTACTCATTTAGACTCAATGCCCCAGATTTATATAAAAGTGTTAGACATGTTAAATGTAGGTATTTTGATAAGGGACATAAGGGGTGGAATGGCATCTCTTGCAATCATTTGAACGTGCTGGAGCCTAATTTTCATTGGGATGGACGGTGACAGGATTTGGATCCATATTCCATTACAAATAACAAGCGACACTAAATGTTTTGAACAGGACTTTAAAGTGTTCAGCTGAAAACTTAAGTGCAGTTACAAAGTGCAGGCACCAAGGGGAGACACTTGTCGAGTTTGAAATGAAGGGAATGAGAGGAAAGTATAGAGGAAGCGACAGAAAGAAAAAGTGTTGAAAATTGTAGAACACAAGATCCATATTTGAACTGAGTTATACTAAACATGACAATAGATTTGCATATCACTAGAAAATATAGGGTAAGGATTATCAAAATATTAAGTAAATACGTGTTTATAAATTGCAAAGTGGAATTGTAAGTCGAATTTGATATACTTAGCATTTTTGAACAACTGAAGTTAACACAGTTATGTGATTGTGCTAATAAGTAGCACCATTTTCCTGGAAAGCACATTTTCCTGGCCTCTTTGTGCTGTTTTGAATTAACAGATTTTTTTTTCTTTAATTTGCATGCACATGTAAAGCCACTATTGCAATAATTTAATGTACAGAAAATTATACTTTCTATTTGTCTTTGTTCTCTTTTCTCCAGACTACCTTGTTTTGATAAATTACTGAAGAAAAAACTGTCAGGCGGTTTTAGTTACACATTTCTTGTGGCTGTTAAGGTTTAGTTCATGACTAAGCTTAGGTTTCTCTGCACCACTGAGTTGCTTTATGTATTAATTCCTATGCTCACATGAAGCTACTTTTCTTGGACTCCTAAGCATCATGTCGATATGACCCTGATCATCTTTAACGATTAAGCAGTACTTCAGCTTACTACTCTTGCGTTATGCATTTTAAGGAAATGGCAAATTATTTTAAAATTGATAATGCATGCATAATGTTGGCATTTCAACTTGGGTTGGTGTGCTGTTTTACTGTACATATAAAAATGTCCATTGTTCTTAACCAGGAAGTTTGAAGGTGTGAATGTCTGTGTGTATTTGCTAACTTATGCTAATTTAAACTTAAGACAGTTTGTCACTTTCAGCAGTGACTTATTGCAAACTTGGCATATTTACACATTGACATGAAGCATTTACTCAGTTAAAGTAAAACGGGGATTACCCAGAGCCAATTATTATCCCGTGACATAGAAGTTAAAATGTTTGTACAGCTTTCCTCAGCCTCCAGATGGCAAGAGATACTGTCAAACAAATGTCAGTAAACCTATTTGGTGAAACTACCTGTTCTTATTTTAGTTGATTTCAAGAACTATAAATGCTAACATCATGTTTTTTTTTTTTAACTGCTTGAAAATTTACGTGTCCTAATAATAAGATCGAAAAATCAAAAGTGATTTTCTTAAAACCAGTCCAAAGTTATACTGAAGCCTCATTCTGCATCACTAAATACATTATTGAGATTATGAAACAGTTGTATTAGTGCAAAACTCTGCAAAATAATTTATAGTACATCTTTGCTGCTTCTTTACAAGACAGACTGTAACTATCTTTTTTGCTTTTTTACATCTGAAAATGTACACTGAAGGTTGATTGTCACATAATGATCTATGGCCAAGACCGATATTTAAAATTTAGGGCAGTCAATGACCAATATTTTAAAATATACCATGTGTTTAATTTGAAAAGAAATTTTGTGCTGAAATGAGCTGGCTGAAGCAGCAGAAGCAGCTCCTTCTGTAACTCTACTAATATGGCATTGGAGACATTTAAATACACACTTTAAAAGTTGAGGAAAACCAAGCACCCAGAAAAGTCATTTTCAGGGTTTGTTTTCAACATATTCAAGCACATTTTTCCATGTTGCGATGTTTTCTGTTGCTACTGTATTCTTACCCAGCCTTTATCTAATATTGGCAAACACTGCACCAAGAAACCGTCACTGGGAAGATGCCCCTGCAATGGGCGTGCACAGATGAGATAAGCGAGCAGAGCTGGTTGCCCACTGTCGAGTGCAACTATGCCAAAAACCATGAGAAATTCACTCATATTCCTTCCCTCTTATTAAGACTCTACATTCATAATGTTCAGCTCAGATCACTGACACTTTTTCTTCACCTTTGTTGAAAACGCTGAATAGATGAGTCAGCACTCCTTTAAAGAAAAGAAACAAACAAAACAATTTACTTTTGTTGAAGAGTTTTACATTTTCTCAAACTTTATTCAGAGTACCTGTGATAGTAGCAAGGGCTAAATGAGCTTTACATTAGCAGCAGCGAAAACACAGAAGATTGTTGAATGACTTATGTATGGCGCATTTCCTGATTTGGGAAAAAAATATATATAAATATATATATATTTTTTATCTCTGACGAGGCCCAATCATGCTCAAATAAATAGATAATAACTGCTGATTTCATAAAATGTCAACACGTAGTTAAAAAACAACAACAAAATAAATATTTTATTGATGCTTATATTTAAAAAATACATGTTTGATAACTCTCAAAAGCAGAATAATAACTCAGTTTGATGTATCTTGCGCATGTTGACAAAATAAATTTAACATGAGCTCTTCCTTGATTGGTCAATGCAGATGAATACTCCACAAAGTCCGTTAGATTCATGTGTTTACCTATTTTCCGCCAAGGCTGTGAGTTTTTGTTTGCAAGAATCATTAAAGTGTCGAGAACAAGTGTGGATATTTGACAAAGCTCTTTAATCTTCATGTTTTTCATGCTTCACACCTTGATGTTTTTTAACGACTGCATTTCAAAGACTGCTAGAAAAGCTTGACGACATCGTGATATTCACGTTTGTCCATCATTCCTAATGTGCCATGTTATTTGTTGGCAAACGTTGCCTCTGTTAATTTGTGTTGTTAAGAATCCGTTGCGAGATCCCACGCGATGAGAGGGGGAAAAAAAGCCGGATGTGTCATCCGATCTGGCACCAGGAACAAGTGCAGATTGTTTCTATATCACGTTAGTTTTTCCAGCTGAACAAGCTGACTTCTGTTGACTATACAGGATAACACAATTATTTCCTTATTTTTTAGGCTAACTGATGTTTCCGAGCATTTCAGCAAGTTGAGCAGCATGGTATTTGCTCTTCTGTTGACAACCGGACGTAAATCATATTCAAGACAGTTTGCCTGTTTTGGGTTCTCTCAGTTTGTTGACTATTTAATAGAAAGTTTTATTAACTTTTAGAGTATATTTTGGGTCAAACGTAGGTGATGAACTTTATTTACTACATTTCTTGAAGCTTATGAACAGCGCTGTGTTCGACAGGCAGAACGTATAGAGATTAAGAGCTGAGAATCCGCCCCAGTCACCTTTCTAATGTTGTTCAAGTAAACAATGGAAGAATTATGCTTTTATGAAACGCTAGATACATTATACGGCTTATTTGATGTTGCTTGTTACATAGCCTATGGTCCAGCTTTGTGATCACCTCACAGGTCTCCAGGGTGTGCTAACCGGTTGACTTGAACTCCGATCCCGAAGCTGAAGGGCTCTCATCTGTCTTCACTAAGACTGATGGGGGCACGCAGGGGACAGAAGTTTTATGTGAGGAAAATGGGCTTAGTGTTTCTTCATACCTTCACCTCCCCACCAGAACATTTTTTTCTTCTTTCGGTTTGGTGTTAACAAGAATGGTGAGATATAATTTATATGCTCCTTTGTCTCTGGGCTTCTTTTAAATGTAGTTCGGGAGAAAACGCTGCATTTGGGCTTTCTAAAGTCTTAAGTTCTCCCCAGCTGAGCTCCATATCTGTATCAAGACGATAAGTCGTAAAAATGATCATCTTAGTTATTTCTTAAATTCTGATTATCTTGAGCCCCTAAATAATTACAGATTTTACTTTTTTTATTTTATTTTATTTTTTAAATAATTTTATTAAGACAGTCATGGTTTCAGAAAAGTTTCAGAATTAGATTTATGTCACTTATTTCACTTCTTAATCTTATTAATCTAATTTGCACCAAGCTTTTGTGATAGCTAATCAAAAAGAAATATATACAAAAATAGGAATTTTTATATCTATAAAAAAAGTGTATCTAAATAATAAAACCATTAGAAACAACTCTAAAAAACCCTTCACAATCAGTGTTAAACTGAAGCCAAGCAATTTTTTTTTTTAATTAATTTAAATAAAGCGTAGTTCCTCGCTTTGGATAGATCTTACTTGAGAAGGGAGTGT